AGGAGGGGCCACGCGGGACCGTCACCTGTGGGCGCGTCCTGCGTGGCAGCTGCCTGCCCGCCGGCCCCTCGGTCCGCTGCCCGTTGCTTTGCCCAGAGACACCAGTGATGCCCTCACCCCGCCCCCCTCCGCCCCAGATCTCTTCCGCGCATCTCGGTCTGCAAACCTGTGTGGCCCCGTGTGGGTCGGGCCAGGTGCTCTCCGCGCGGCCGGCCGCCGGGGTGGCCGCGGCTCCGCGTCCGCCAGAGGGCGCCCCGGCCCCCGCAAAGGGCGTGCACTTCGTGCCTGGACGGCCGGCCCTGCAAACGCTACCGCGCTGAGGTCCGCGGGAACGTGGCCGCGTGGCTGGGGCCTGCAGAGGCACAGACAAGGGGTCAGGGGTCAGGCCAGAGGATGAAAGCCCAGCAGAGGGGCGTTTCTGGATAGCACTTTAGGCCCAAGACCTCTTGAATGTAGGGGCTGGGGAGCTAGGGGCCCTGTCTGGGTAGCCCAGTGGTTAAGCATCGGGCTGCTAGATCTGTGATTCTGGACTAAAGACCTGGCAGTTGGCCCCTGCATGGATCTCACTACCTAGAAAACCCTGTGGGGGCAGATCTAGTTCATTTTAGAGGGCTCTTAACCAGACTGCAACTGTCCAAAGGCAGAGGAGTGAGCTCAAAGATTACTTCCCTCATGGTCAAGTTTGGTTGGTTTGGGTTCAGAGAACTCCCAACCAGCTTTTTGAAAGGCAGAGCTTTTGCAATCTGCCCCCACCCCCCACCCCAACTGACAACAGGGCTCAGGACACCGGAAGGCAGCCAGGTGGATCTCTAGTGGCTGTCCTATGCAGGGGAGCAGCAGCTATGTTGTGGACAATGTCTTACTCTCTCCCCAGAGTCACAGGACCGAGGGCGATGCAGTGGGAAGGAGGGGACAAGGCTGACAACAGGGAGCCCCAGGGTTCTTGGAGAGTGGGCAGGCACCTCGCTGCCTCTGCTACCTTGTGTGCCCCTCAGCCTCTCCCCAGAGATGTCAGGCAGTTGAGAGATTGGAGAAGAGCACCCATGCTTTGGAGGACTTCGGTTTTGTCCCCTGTGAAATAGGAAATCCTAACTTCTTCCCCTCTTCCCATCAGAGACCCGTGATTCAAGCAACATCCTACATGTCAAGGTGTAGCAGAAGCAGAAGCAATTCCTTCCAGTTCCCCCTTTGGGCAGGAGGAAGGAGATCTTTCCTGCTATGGGGTCTACAGGGCAGGAAGTTGGTTTATCCAAATCAGTCAGCAGATACTTCCTGGGCTCTAACTTTGTAGCAGGGAGAAAGATGGGGCTTTCTGCTCCCATAAAGAGTTACAGTCTCGGAAACTCACAGGGGCAGTTCCGCTGTCTTCTTAGGGTTCCCATGAGTCAGTATTGACTGGATGCAGTGGGAACTTTATAGGCAAACTCACTGTCCCCGAGTTGATTCTGACACTTAGTAACCCTCGTGGACAGAGTGCCTGCCCCAGTGGATTTCCAAGGCTACGACTCTTTAAAGCCGGTCTCCTGGCTTTCTTTTCTCAAAGCATAACCGGGGCTGGTGGCATAGAGGTTTACGCATTGGGCTGCTAATCTTAAGGTCAGCAGTTCAAAACCGCCAGCCGCTCTGTGGAAGAGACATGAGGTTTTCTACTCCCATCAAGAGTTACAGTCTCAGAAACCCGCAGGGGCCAGTTCTAGCTTGTCCTATAGGGTCTCGGCGAGTCAGATCACCTCCGTACCGTACTGTGAGTTTGTACTGTGTAGCAAGCATCCCTGGTGGTGCAGATGGTTGTGCACTGGCTACCCGCCCAGAGGTGCCTTGGAAGAAAGGCCTGCCTATCTGCTTCCCCAAATCAGCCAAGGCAAACCCTCAGGAGCCTAGTCCCACTGCGACACACTGGGCACCAGGGGTCAAAGCCCATGCAGCTTTTTCTTCCGTGAACTCAGTAGCACTGGGCTGGGCATGAAGAGATGAATCGGACCCAGTGTTTGCCCTCTAAATGCGGGCAGTCCCAGGAAAGGGACTCGCCCTTCCTCTAGGATCAGGAACCTCCGAGGGCTGCCCATTTGTGTCCATTGAGACTGCCCAGTGAAAGTCCACTTCTGTGCTTAGCAGCCTGGAGGCTGACGCAGATGGAATGGCCCCTGGAGTTAATGGAGGCGAGGTGGGAGAGTGCTTTGTAAGTTACACTGCTCTGACACAGCCAGTTCATTCATGCATTTATTCCACCGGCCTCCTGGAACACAGCCTCTGCTGGGAGCAGGCCCCAGTGCTGGGAGGCACCAGGAAGCCATGGGCATCACTAGTGTCCCCTGGAATGACAGTCCTGTGAGAGTTCATTTTTTAAGGTGGGGGTGAGGGTGCGTAGAGAATCCAGTCTGGTCCATGAAATATACCTCTGAAACAGGTCAGTCCCAGTGCCCAACCTCCTGGGGCCTAAGGGAACCCGAGTTCAGTGACTTGCATGGTTGGCTGGGAGCTTAGAGGGGGTCCCAGCCAGCAGCGAGGACCCGGCAGGGCCAGCAGGGGAAGGTCTGCATGGACTGGAGAAGGTTCTGGAAGGACAGGGCAGGTGGTGGGAGGTAGGCTGGGACCAGATAAACCCAAGCCAAACTCACTGGTCGGTTGAGTTGATATGCCGACTCACAGCAACCAGATAAGATGGGGTAGAACTGCCTGGTGAATTTCTGAGACTAACAAACACTTAATGTGGAGAGAAAGCCCAACCCATTTCGTTGAAAATCATAGGTCATTGTCTCAAACTTATAGGGAGCCCTGGTGGTGTAGTGAGTTACACATTGGGCTGCTAAATTCAAGGTCAGCAGTTCAAATCCACCCGCTGCCCCGAGGGAGACCAGTGAGGCTTTCTGCTCTCCTTAAGATCTACAGCCTTGGAAACCCATGGGGACTGCTCTACTCTGTCCTGCAGCGTTGCTGTGAGTCGGAATTGACCGGATGGCAGTGTGAGCTGTCTTGGGGACTCAGTGAGCTGAGACATGCAGAGTACTCTGGACCTGGACTGTGCCTCACCTACTGTAAGTGCTCAGTGGGGTTTCCTCTGGTGTTATTTGAAGACTCGGGGAGATTTGGGGGCTGAGAGGGGAGATTTGGGGGCTGGGAGGTGCGAGGAGGAGAGAGCTGGGTGTATTTTGTGTCTGTCTTGGGGAACATTCCCAAAAGGCTGCTTGGCTTCCCACAGCCCTTACAACAACGGGCACCAAGTTTTCTATCTCTCTGGTCATTCCGGATGCCTAGGGGAAGAATCCAAAGTCCCCTGCCTGGCCTTCACACTCCCTTCTTCCACTGTTCCAGGCTGTCTTCCTTCTGGGCGGAGTGCTAGGATTCCAGCTGCCCAAAGAGTCAGCTTCCCCCAGGGCTGCTCCTACTCCCTCCTAGGACTCCATTTCCCCCACCCTACCCCCACCCCTACTCCACCAGCAAAAAAATAGCCTGGTGGGCAGGGAGGGTATCTTTCTTTCCCTCTCTTTGTAATGCTGAATGCAGAGAACAAACTCAGCCAGTGGAAAGGGAAGATCATCCCTGGTTCCTGTCTCTTTCAGATAATCCGGCCTTCCTTCAGGGCTCTAGGCTCCTGCTAGATGGGATACAGGATGTGGGTAAGGGAAGCACCAGGGATTATTGGGTTAGCTAATCTGGAGACAAAGAGAAAGGGAGAGTCAACGTTGCTGGGAAGGGGGCGGCGCCACCTGGGTTGGTGTAGGGCTTT